GAGATGTGCTATTTGGAACTAACACTGGATTTGAAGACTTAATACCAAAAACACTGTAAGTCTCTCATTATTTTTTATCTATTATATGTTAAAATGATACCATGTGGAATGTAATTAGATTAAGCGCACTCAAATTAATGTTTCTTTTCACTTTTATGTGTGGCTGCTATAATATTTACAATTACAGAGGGCTTGCATAATACATCTCTTTGACAGCACTAATCTCAGTCTCTTCTCATTTTTCCATATTGTATAGATAAGCTTTTTATGTGCTGGTGGCTACAAGGAGGGTTTTCCTTTCTTTATCCACCACCTTATCACATCTTGGGCAGGCGTTGATGTTGCATAAATACTTTCCAGGCGTCTAGAGCCACACTGAGGAAAACGCATGCTGTGGTGGTGGTTAGCCGGAGTTGACAAGCCGTATGAGTGCTGTACCTCTCGTACCTCATATAGGCTTATATGAGACTTTGTGGACTAACATGGGAATTGAAATAGTACTACAATTCTTTTTTTTCCTATTCCAATTTCCAAGAAAAATAAACTTCGAAGATTTTGTGAAAACAACTTGTTCTTAGTTCAAGATTGGTACTGTTAGGAAACGAAAACACTGTAGAATATATTGTAAAATATTTAGTGCCTATAAAACATAAGCTTTGAACTGAATACAAAATATTAAAAAAATGACCTTATTATTACATCAAGAATAGCCTTATGCGAAGAAATAGTTTAATTATAATCGAAAATGATATGTTAGTCTATAAATCCTTTATTGTCTTTTCCAAGCATGTATAAAATCTTTTTGAGAGATGCCTGCGTGGCTCAGTCAGTTGAGAGTCTAAGGATTTTGGCTCAGGTCATGATCCCAGGGTTGTGAGACTGAGTCCATGTGGGGCTTTGCACAGAGCTTGGAGCCTATGTAAGATTCTCTCTCTCCCTTTCCCTCTGCCCCTATCTCCTGCTTGCCCTCTCTCAAATAAAATAATTAAAGGAATGCCTGGGTGGCTTGGTCAGTTGGTTGGGCATCCGACTTCAGCTCAGGTCATGATCTCGAGGTCCATGGATTCAAGACCCGCGTCAGGCTCTGTGCTGACAGCTCAGAGCCTGGAGCCTGCCTCAGATTCTGTGTCTCCCTCTCTCTGCTCCTCCCCTGCTCACACTCTGTCTCTCTCCCAAAAATAAATAAACGCTAAAATTTTTTTTAAATAAAATAATGAAAATATTTTTGAAATAAATGTAGTAAGGGTTGTTTGATATTAAGGATACTTTGGCATGGTATTCTCAGGTTTATGACCAGAGATACAGCTCAGTGATGTACTCTGAGTAAATGTTACGATTTACTAGCTGGATTAAGTTTATAGTACTGTTACACAAAACTGTAAGTAAAATGAGACCCCCTTTCCTCTGAATTGGTATGGAATGGCTTGCTGTATCTAAAAGGTGCAAAAAATGAACAAGAGCACTATTTGACGATTGAGTTTATGGTAATAAAGTACTTTTACAAAATGCTACAAGAAGTGGCACAGTGATTCAAATTTTATAGGTAGATATCACTGGTATCATTTTCAGTGTTAAGAAACAAATGCCAAAATGATAAATATTTAGCCTAATTGCTTTAGGTTCTCAGGAAAATACTTTTCTTGGTGTGGCCATGTGCCATGATGCTACTAAATCTTTGGTTCAAACAAAGTAGGGCCCATGAAGGAGGAGAAACAGCCCTACATTCCAGTGGCTAGAAAACTTGATTTAGAATTCAGTTTTGCCTAAGGGCCCACTTAATGACTCATTTTTTTCTATACTACGTTCTGTGGCTGTCAGCTTAAGGGAATGTTAGCTTTAGTTCGTGGCAATTAAGGACTATAGTTGTGGGGCACCTGGCTGGCTCAGTCAGTAGAGCACGCAACTCTTGATCTCGGGGTTGTGAGTTCGAGCTCCACATTGGGTGTAGAGATCACTTAAAAATCAAAAAAAATATCTTTGAAAAAAAGATTGTGCATGAACAGCAATAAGGCATTTGTACCTTACTAATATCCTGTAAGAAAGAAAAACTTGCCTATGGCCTTTTTCAAAGTTAAGTTTTTAAATAAGGGAAAGGGAACGTTTTTAAATAAGGGAAAGACACATTTACTGAGCGCTTGCTTTCACTAGCATTAGCTCTTAATCCATAATATGTTTTTTGTTTTTAGTTTTTATAAATGAAGAAACAAAATTAGATTGGTTAAATAACTTGCCTATTTCTGAATAATTGGTCTTTGCATAAACTGTTTCTCAAAGAACTTTTAGATCTGTTTCCTAATTTTCTCGTGAACTGAATTTTATTCCAGAGGAATCCTGTGAAGGTCTGTTTTATTCAGCATAGTTTTACAGGTGATGAAAATGAGGAAAGAAAGGTTAAGTAAATTTTAGTCGTGGAACCCAGGATGATAATGAGTTCTCTTGATTCTTGCAATTATAATGAATGGTAAGAATTTGAGGTAAGAAGAAATGTAACAGTATATTTTATATCTCCAGATACGCTATTATTAGTTATAAGGATAATCTCACATTTGTTCTATTCAAGTGGATTCTAGATAAAGATATGAAGGTCAAAGAGGGGGTACTGGGAGAAAATAGGGAAAAGAGGAGAAAGATTTTTTCTAAAAAAAGGAGAAAAGTTTGATTTGTGGATTTTAAATAAACTACTGACATATTGCTGCCTCGACTTAAAAACCCACCAAGTAATTTCAGAAGCTTATTCAGTACTTATATAAAATTATTTACAGCACAATTCCTTATAATTCCCATATTATCAGATAACTGGTATAGTATAATTCTCAAATGCCAAACCAATGAGAAATTTATCTTTTGGGAACACTTTTTAGATGACAGAAACGCAAGATTCATTACCTTCTTTTCATTTGCATTTTTTTAAGTTCCTTGTTTTTCTAAGTGTGGCTCATGGCGGATCTATACTTCCTGGCAGCTTATCAGCAATGCAGAAACTCAAGCCTAATCCACACCTGAAAAATACACGCTTTATCAAGATTTAATGTAGGTGTATGAAGGTGTAAGAAGTAATGTTGAGGTTGACTTTTGGCCTAGGTTGACTGTTACACTCTACTTCTTACCTTTAGATATTGGGCTCAGAATAGACATTACCAGCAGCATCTATTTAGTTCTTCAGAACTTGTGAATCAGGACTGTATACTTTAAAAAAAATATTTTTTGATATTTCAGCATTTATTTATTTTTGAGAGAGAGAGAATGCAAGTGGGGGAGGGGGAGAGAGAGGTTTGACACAGAATCTGTAGCAGGATCCATGATCTGAGCTGTCAGCACAGAGCCTGATGTAGGGTTCGAACTCATGAACTGTGAGATCATGACCTGAGCCAAAGATGGATGCTTAACTGACTGAGCCACCCAGGAACCTCTATATACTATTTTTTTTTTAAATGATGGGTTAAAATTTCTCTGTATGAGAAAATTAAATCACATTGTGACTACACATGATGTTTTTTTTTTTTTAATTTTTTTTTTCAATGTTTGTTTATTTTTGGGACAGAGAGAGACAGAGCATGAACGGGGGAGGGGCAGAGAGAGAGGCAGACACAGAATCGGAAACAGGCTCCAGGCTCCGAGCTGTCAGCCCAGAGCCTGATGCGGGGCTCGAACTCACGGACCGCGAGATCGTGACCTGGCTGAAGTCGGACGCTTAACCGACTGCGCCACCCAGGCGCCCCTACACCATTATGTTTTAAAAATCTATGTAATTCACAGCTAGGTACCTATTCTGTTTTAAGGCAAAATGAAAAGTTAAGGACTGTAGTTTACTATTATATTTCATATAACAGCATATATCATAATGTTATTAATTATAGCTACTTAGTTTCATTTTTCTTTTTCCCTCAACAAATGGTAAGGTCTGCTTCTAAAACCTAAATGCCTTTCTACCTCCTTATCCAAATACCGGACCTGGATCCATTCTTCCCCATCACTTTCCTCCCCCCTATTTGAGGGACAATGCCAGTGGATCAGAGCACTCTTTTCCTCACGGTGCCAAGATGTAACCTCAGAATCCTTCTAAGTAAAGGTAAGCACCATAAATCAATCTAAGTTGGCACACAGGATGAAAGCTCTTATCAAATATAGTACTGTGTATTGAATAGTGTCCTGCAGATACGAAGTTTTTCGTTAGTATAAGCAATGAAAATTGTTACAGACAAGGAGCAGGTAGTTCATTCCTGCATTCTTTTTTTTTTTTTTTTTTTTTTTTT